GAGAGATGGAAGGGATTAAGAAAAGGCGGCAAGGAAGGAGGGAGGAATTTTCACCCAGACTCGATCTTCTCGATTCTCTGTACAGCTTTCTTGAGGGGCTGAAACGAGTGTGAGACGAGCAAGAAGAAGGACATGGAGGTGAGAAGCTAACTCAATGCCAGGATGCAGGAAAACATCAAGGAGCGGTGAGAGGACGGCGAGGGAGCAGGAAAGAGCAAGGGACAGGAGGAGGAGGAGGAGGTAGACCTGGTAGAAGGACTTCATGATAGGGAGCAGCTCCTGCTTGAGCGTGTTCTGTCGCAAAAGTCTCAACGATAACTTCCTCCTCCTCTTCTCTTCCTCCCTCCCCTCCGTGCTCCCTTTTCGTCTCCTCCTCCTCCTCCTCCTCCTCCTCCTCCTCCTCCTCCCCTCTGCTCTCTCACCGTCCCCTGCTTGGCGGCGTCCATGGCGACTCTGAGGTTTTTGATGTCGGCGAGGACGCGGCGACCTCCTTTCCTGAGGCGACTCCTGGTCTCCTGCTGGGAGTGAGCAACGAGCGAGAGGGCTGGAGGGAGGAGGAGATGCAGAATGAGAGGGGAGGAGGGGGGGGAAGAGGGTGGATGGGCAAAAGGAGGGAGAGGAAAGAGGAGAGAAAATGGACGATGACGGACAGTAAGGTAGGCGGGAGGAGGTAGAGAGGAGGGAGGAGGTTGGGAGGAGGAAGGAGGAAGGAGGAAGACCTGCAACTTTGACGTTCCCTCCTTGTTCAATCTTTCATTCTCTTCTTGCAAGATCTTGATCTGTCGCAGACATCGCTTACCATGTGAGAGAAGGACAAGTTGGGTGAAGAGAAGAAGCAATCAAGGTGAGGGACGGGAAATAAGAAAAGAAAAAAGGAGGAGAGGAAAGAGAGGAGGAGGAGACAGCAGAAGGAGGAGGAACACCAGGGAAGGAGAGGGGGAGAGGCAGGAGAGGCAAGAGAGGTGGGAGAGGGAGGGAGGGAGGGAGGGAGGCAGGGAGAGGCAGGGAGAGGGAGGGAGAGGGAGGGGGAGGGAGGGAGAGGAGGGAGGGAGGCAGGGAGAGGAGGGAGGGAGAGGCAGGGAGAGGAGGGAGAGAGAGGGAGAGGAGGGAGAGGGAGGGAGAGGAAGGGAGAGGAGGGAGGGAGGCAGAGGAGGCAGAGGAAGTACCTGTCGCTGCAAGTCTTTCTCCTTGATGGTGAAGTCATCCTGCCACCCTTTCAGTGCCAACCTCATGGGACATGTCAACTCACCTGCTGTGCTTTGAAGTTCTGCTTCAAGATCGCCATCTCTTTCTCCTTCTCGTGCACGCTGCAATGAGGTCAGGAGGGGCAGGCAGCACACGCTGAAGCACAACGAGACATCAGCATGCGATGTAGAGAGACTGAGAGGGCAGAGCGAACGACGAGTGAGATGCGTGAGGGTGACAGTGAAGGCTGTGAGATAGAAGAGAGAAGGAGATAACAAGTGACGAACAAGATACACAAGGCGGGCAGGACAAGAAGCAATACACATCAGGTGAGAAAACAAAAAAACACATGCGCAACAACGACAAGGCAACTTGAGCTGGACCTGAGCTGGAGTTGCTTCACACTGGACTGGGCGTCAGAAAGAGACTTGCTCGACTGGTCGGACTTGGAAGACATTTTCTGCATTCCACGTGAGAAGGAGAAGTCACAGGGAGCAGACTCAACCTGTCGAAGAGCTTCCAACTCCTCCACTGCCTTCTTGCGCGCGTTGCTTTCATCCAAGATGACCTGAGGGGCAGAGGAGACGATGCAGTCAGGGAGGAGGGGAGGAGGAGAGGAGGAGAGGCTCACTTGTTGAAGCTTCTTCACTTGCTCGCTCATCGCACTCGAGCCATCGTTCAACGTGTTGTGGTCGGTCGTATTCTTGTAGTTGTCAAGAACTTTCTCCATCGGGGAGATCTTCTCCTGAGACAAGAACTCTCAACGGAGAGACAACGACAGGTTCTGCCTGACCTTGGTGGAGGAGACGAGCTTCGAGTTGGCAGCTGTGAGGTTGTCGACCATCTGCTTCAGCTCTCTGCAAGATGCGCGTCATGAGGCCTCGTGTCCCCTCCCGCCATCTCTCGACCTGTTCTCTGCTTCCAACCCCTCGACTGACTTCGATGAGCCGTTCATCTGGCGACTGGAGCGATGGATAAGGACAAGGGGGAAAAAACATCAACAGGAAGGAAGGAAAGAAGGAAGGAAGGCAACTAGAGAGGAACGAGGAGAGGGAGGCAGGGGGAGGGACTGGAGAGACAACAGGTCACAGAGAGCAGTCTTCACCTCTTCAAGCTCGAATTCTCCGCTCGCAGCTTCTCGATCTCAGCAAGCAGCCGACTCTCACTGTCCTGCATGTCAGACAAACTTCTCCATCCTCCCATCCGCAGCCTCACGGGAGCGACATGGGCGAGACGCTCGTCGAGGGTTCGACGCCTGCAGGTCCCAGGTGAGAAACGGCTTCAGCACGCGCAGGAAACAAACCTAAACCCGTCAGCTGTTTCTCTAACTGTGAGACCCTTCCTTTCAACAAGACCATCTGCTCAACCACGACTCTCACTCGCACACCAGCAAACGTCATGCGAGCTGACCTCTTGCATGTCACTTGACGCTGAAGCCTGTAAGTCTTCACACCTTGTGGGCTATCAGCAACTTTTCCTTCATGTCAGTCATCTCATACTCTCTCTCCTTCGCTGCAAGTTTCTCTTGAAACTTCTTCTCGATGTTCGCCATCCTTGAGTTTGCAAGCTTCTTGATAGTCTCGACCTGTCATGCTCGTCACACTCCTGAGTGCTCAACGTTCACCTACCTGCTCATCTTTCTTGGCTTCGAGCTGTGATATCTTGTTTTGCAGCTCAAGATTCTTTGCCTCTAGCTCGCGGATGCGCGAGATCTCTCCGTTTCCATTCTGCACTCACGTCATGACGAGCAACGAGCAGGCGACAGAACCATCACCATCGCCCGTCGGGAGGGAGGAGCAGGAGCCTCCTCGTCCTCTTCATCCTCACCCAACTTGACATCGTCGGCACCCAGTCCCAGTGACTGCTCGCAGATTTCAATTCCATGAGGAGAAGCAGGGGGAGAGGAAGGGGAAGAAGGGACAGAAGCAGGAGCAGGAGTAGGAGCAGGAGCAGGGGGGGGCAGGGGCAAAGGCAGGAGCAGGGGCAGGAGAGGAGGCAAGAAGAGCAGGGCAGGGGGAAGGGCAGGGGCAGTAGGAGTAGGGGCAGGAGGAGGAGGAGGAGCAGGAGGAGGAGGAGGAGCAGGAGCAGGAGCAGGAGCAGGAGGAGGAGGAGCAGGAGCAGGAGGAGCAGGACCTCGCGCATCTGAGCGTCTCGAGACAAAGGCTTGCTGGAGTCCGCGAGCTGCGGCCTGTACTCCTTTGGGCGGTGGACTTGCATAAAGGAGCTGGACGACCAGCAGGATCAGAGCAGATCAGTCCAAGAGCAGAACAAGTTCAGTCAGGCACATTTGCTCTTTCTACATCCGAACATAGCAAACATTGTGTGTGATTCGTTGAGAACGATCATCCGATAGTTGCGAATTTTCAGAAGTTTGCGATTTCACGAATTCTTACGCCCATTTGCAGACGTATTTCAACAACCGACTAGGATGCCTCACAGGTCTCTGATACCTTTCCTAGGAATGTTTTTTCATCTGCCATCTAGGCGCCCTCAGATATTGGTTGCTCCTCTTCTTTTCCGACTTATCTTAACTCCGACGTCACTGGTTCCTGCTTCCCCTCTGACCTGAGGTCATCACAACTCCCCTCTTCGAGCTTATTGGCCTCCTCTTCCTCCTTCTCTTCATAGACAATCTCGTCCTCCTCGTCCTCCTCTTCTTTCTTCTCTCCTCCCTCCCCTCCTCCTCCTCTGCTGCTTGCTCGTCTGCTCGGCATAGCCAGCAAGCGTTTGTATGAGAACGGCCTAGTAGGTGGGGGTCAATACATAGGGGGTGGGGGTCCAATTCATAAGGGTCAGGGTCAGTACCCCTGGACAAAATTTGATACAAAATGACAGGCAATGAATTTATGGGTTAGGGGTACCTGTTACCAAAAATAGGGTAGGGGATAATTTTCAGCAGGTTGGGGTGGACCAAAGTGAGGTGGAAAAGGGGTAGGTAGTGATCACAGTTGATGTCGGGTAAGGTGGGTCCAGGGTGAGGTACGGGTACAACCCGATTGTGGTAGGGGTGGTGGTAGGGGTGACTTAATTGGGGGTACTGATCTATGTCATGGGGGGTGGGTGGAAGTCAAACAAGGGGGTAGTGACAAAAGGGGGTCAAAGGGGTAGGAGCGATCTGTAGTAGCAGTGAAAGTTACTGAATTTTTGTAGGTAGGGGTATCATAAAGGTAGTAAGGAGGGGTCAATTTGCTTTTGTAGGAGGGGTGGAGATTTCAGGGGGTGGGGTACTGAAGACTCGGGGAAAGGCATTCAAAATCCGGTATTATTTCTATATTGAGGAATAATTTAGATACGCAGGAATTCGAAGCTCCTGCCGCAGGTCAGCCACCAGATGGACTTTTGAAGTTCAGAGCCAGCAAGAAGCTGATGAGACGGCTCCCGCAGCTTCTTCAAGTGTGTTTATTCTTACAGTTAGTCACTTGGTCCTCAGTTAGTCTCTCCTCGTCGGTTTAAGTTTACCCTCCTCACACCCTGCTGCGTAATCGCATGTCGGTGCGGAAATGCGGTGAGATCGGCTCCGTCAGCGGCTTCGTCGATCGCTGGATCTCCTGTACGGCCGTGTACACAGACTCAGGCACAGGACGAGCCTTGATCGTCATCGACTGCCGAAGCTCCTTAAGTTCCCGCTGCTCCTCCTCCTGCCTCCTCCGTTCCTCCTCCCGCTTCTCGGCCTCCATCATCGCCTCCTTGTCCGCGCGGCGCTTCTCGAACTCCTTCCTCATCTCTCCCCTCCTGTCCACGTTGAGATCGAACTCCCTCACCTCGGTCAGTGGCTTCGACGCTCGACGGGGGGTGAAGACTTTCGAGCTGTCGGTGACGGTCTTGGGAACGGCCCGGGCAGTGAAGGAGGAGAACTTGGCCCTCTCGTTCTCAAGGTCCTTCTCCACCTGCATCTCCCACATCTGCGAGAAGTGCTCGTGCCGGGTCTCTGACCGCAGGTTGAAGGGCTTCGGCTCCGTCAGACTCTTCTTCTCCACGCTGCCAACTCCGATCTTGTTCAGCTCTGAGGCGCTGCGGACGGGGTTGGCCTTGAAGACGCGCGACTCCCTCTGCTTCTTCTCCTCCTCCTCCATCCTCCTCTTCATCTGTTCCTCGTGCATCCGGTGCCTGTCCTCTGTGGAGAGGTGGAAGGGCTCGGGCTCCGTGAGGTTGACGTGGTCGTGCTTGGGGACGAACTTCCTGTTCATGTCCGGCACGGGCTGGGCCTTGAAGCTCCACTTCTCGTCATCCGACGATGCAGACATCGACTGATTGCGCACGCGACATCTCGTGGCGAGGTTGGGAGAGGTGGGGATCGTTAACTTACGCTCCTGTACCACCATCACTCTCCTCCTCCTCCTCCTCCTCCTCCTCCTCCTCCTCCTCTGTCACCTGACGAGGGGTGGCTGACGGTTTGGGGGCAGCTCGAACAGCCTTGGGGACAGGGCGAGCCTTGAAGCTGCTGCCGAGGCTGGGGGAAGTCAGCAAAGGAGCGAGAGCGGAGCAGGAGGAACCTCTCAGTGGAGAGCGAGCTGAGACTGTCAAGCGAGGAGGAGCGAGAGCGCATGGCACGGTCCTCCGAGCGGAGGCGAGGACCGCAGGGAGTTGTGAGAGCTTTCTTCTGTACCTGCACAAGCGTGGTCATTTCCAGCGCCCCCTCGTCGTCCTCTCGATCAAGTGCAAAGAGACCTTGGGGACTCCAAGGTCTCCACAGCTGGAGAGGATCTTGTCGTTGAGGGGCCTGGCCTTGAACTGCTTCCTCTTCATCTCCTCCAGCTCCTCCTCCTCGCGCTCCGCCTGACTCTTCACGTGACGAGTTGAGCGGCGGAAGGAACTGAACTCAGGAGTCTTGGGCTCCGTGAGCTTGAGCGGCATGTTGGACTTGGGAGAAGTCTTCTGCGAGACGAGAGGAGGGGAGAGAGGGACGGACGTGTCAGCGCCTGCCTCCTCAGCCTCTCTCTCTTGTCACCTTAGTGTGGACTCTGGTGGACTTCTCATGCTGGGGCGGGGAGCAGCGTAAGAGGAGGAGCTTGAGGACTCGTAGGCCTCACCTGACGCAGGCGCTCACCGAGCGGCACCTCGGCGTCCGAGGTGTCGCAGTCGGAGACAGACCTCTCCCGTAGGGAAGTTCTCAGGTTGGGGCTGACGGGGACAGTCAAGCCCTTGGTAGACCTGAAGTTGTAGTGAGCCAAGCAGAAACCTTCTCCCTTCCTCCTCCCGTACCTGATGGCCATGCCACCGGCCTCTCCTTTCGGCTGCAGCATCCCCTTCAAGCGAGCCTCGCCCATCTGGTCGAGAGCTGTCAGGCCCAATGCTCCTCTGCCTCTGTGTTGCCTCACCTTCCTCCTCTTCTTCATGTTCTCAATGGCAGCCTGCGCCTCTTCCATCTGTCGGGTGTCGCTGTCAACCTCTTTCTTCGGGCGAGAGGAGGATCGGTGGGACAGCTTCGGTGACTTGGGCACGGTCAGTCGGGATGGCGTGTAGGAGGAGGAAGACTTGATGCTGCAGGAGCAGGGAGGTGAGCGCTCAAGCGAGGAGAAAGGAAACCGACCTGCTCGAGCTTCTCTCAGATCGGATCGAGCTCTGGCTCAAGCTCGTCAGGTCCGAATTGGAGGCTCGACGTCGAAAGCGGGAGCTGCTCGACAGCTTGGGGCTGATGGGGACGGTGAGCTTGGAGGCAGAGCGAGGTCTCAGCTTGGAGGCAGAGCCCTCGACCGATCGCTCGGACATGAGCCTCTTCTTCGTCGACTCAGCTTTGGCCAAGCTCGCTGCAGTTGGCCTTGAACGGCGAGTCAGCAAGAGAGCAGGAGAAGCAAGTTGAGCTACCTGAAAACAGATGAAGGAGTCTTGCAGGACGAGCTCGGAGTAGCGGAAGGACGGTGGCGAGGCGCTGACGTGGATCTTCTCGCCGAGGACACGCTGCCGGTGCGGCTGCTTCCAAAGCGAGAGAAGGAAGGAGTCTTCATCTCGACGGGGGAGCCTTTCGTGTCCTTCTCATGCATCTTAGCCTTTTTCTTGGTAGGCTCCTCAGTGGTGGCTGAGGCCTTGGAAACAGCCTTCTTGTGCAGATCCTTGTCGTCTGCCACTTCTCTTGACTGCCTCTTCTTGACGAGAGGCGACTTGGAGTCCCAAGCTCCTTCCACTGCAACACGGTCATCACCAACAGGAACGATCCGCAAAATACCCACCAACAGCTTCTGCAAGGTTGCTAGAAGCGATTTCGACGAGCTTCTTCTCATTCGCTTTGAATTCAGCAAGAGCAAGAATGTTCTCTGTGAGTTTGGACATGCTATTTTCGAAAGGTCAGAACTCTTGACGTGACTCACGCTCTGCCCAACTTACTTCTTGCTCTGACGAGTCTGCATTGGCGCATCCTTGTTCTCTGTGACGTTAGAATCATGTGCTTTGGTAGGCGCTGGGACATTGGCTTCTTGATTCTCCTTCTTCTCCTTCCCATCAGCGTCACACACTCGTGGTTCTACTCGAAAGCGTCACCTCATTTGAAGCAAACGGTTCAGGCTCGCTGTTCACATGAACCTCCAAATTCTGAGCCTCCGCTGCACAGGACTCTTCTTCCATGTGCACATCCTCGGAGACAGCGGGGTGTGAGTTTGCATCGGCCGTCACTTCACCAGCCTCTGTCATCTCAGTGTCCATGTTCTCTTCCGTGGGTCTTGCCTTGTCCGGTCTCAATAGCTGCAATCAGCGGGTAAGTGGCTGGTATCAGAGTCGTGCCTATCCCACCTTCTTCCCCGAAGAATCTACCTTGTCAAACCAAGAATCAGCATCTTCCTCTTCACTTGGGTTGGCAAAGTCATGGAACTGGGTGTGAAATGTCAGCCTGTGTTCCGTCGAGAAAAAGATTGTCTGTCACCTTCGGCGCATTAAATTCGAAGTTGGGGTCGTAAACTGGCACACTCATTGCAACTGTGCAATCTTAATGCATACAGAGTCCAATCCTGGATTGAGGTTTTAGAACAACAGAATCGTTTGCTCCCTGCCTCGATTATCTTGCTAGAAACATAAAACTAAACTCTCTTTTGAATCGTCCCTTGTAAATAACCAGTTCATAACCAGTCAGTTCTTACCAGAACTTAACAAACAGAATGTTTGAAATCTTTCTAGAACACCTCAATCTTCTGTTATTTGTTTCTTCGATGCAATCATGGTGCGTGTTTTCAATCTAGTTTGAATGTTGTGCTTGCTTCTTCCTCTTGCCCCCTTCTTCTCTCACCCGTTTCAATTGCACTTCTTCCTGCCGGCTTCGTCCTGCACATCCATCTTGCCTCCTTCCTCTTCCTCATCTTCGGGACATGCTGAGTTTCTTCTTGGTCACTTTTGATACTCTTCTTCCTCTTCCTCTTCCTCTTCCTCTTCCTCTTCCCTTTCCTCCTCCTCTTCCTCTCGCTTCAAAGCTACGTTCACTCATCGTCGCTCGCAACGGATTGATTTGAATATCAACCACCCCTACCCATGATGGGAATGGATCCACCACTGGATTACAACTCCCCCCCCCAATCCCCACTAAATGTTGGGTAAGATAACCACTTATGTTATCAAGTACCCCTACTTTTCTGATGACCCTACCCACGCAGGGTCCCGTTCCAATTCGAAAAACTGATCTCGACCCCGCCGAGTCCGCCTCATTGTTGCCGCGCCTAGCTGCGTGGGCCCGAGGCAGCGGGTGATAGAGCCTCGGATCACTGCCATGATCCGGCGGGACACGGCGCCGCGGCCGCACCGCGGCCCGGCACCGCGGCCCGGCCCGCCGGGCCGACTCAGTGCCAGAGTCAGCCCGGCCCTCCCGGCGAGCCCGGCACTGTCACGTGCCATCGTGACGGGGGTGCCGCCGCGGACGCCGCCCGGCCCGGCCGCGCGGGGGCCGGGCCGCCCGGCGCCCGGCGGGGGCCGCCGGGCTCAGTGACACATTGAACCTTCGAACTTGCCAGGGCCAGTTGAACTCTGAAGCCTGCCACAGACTCCCGCCGGCCCGACTCAGCCTGAACCGTGCCGCCGCGGCCGCGGCTGCATGCCCACGCTGCCCGGCGGACTCCCCGGCGGAGTCCCGTCGGACTGGACCGGTCAAGTTCCGAGCGCCGCCCTCCGGGGACTCAGTCCGACGAGGACTCCCGGATACGGTAGGGCCCTGGATCACCCGGCGTGCCAGTCATGGTGACCGTCGACCGACGCGGCATCCGAGTCGGGACCGGACCGTCGGGTGACGGCGTACGGTACCGGTCGCGGTCCGACCGAGTCGAGCCGCCCCGCCCCGCCGCCGGGCGCTGAACCGGGTGCCCGGTGCCGGGGCGAGGGCCCATAGGCTACGCCGGGCTCAGTCCGGCGGCCCTGGCCTCAGGGCCTGAGAAAGACTCGTTCCGACATAGGCCGAGCAGGACAAGCGGCATTCCGAACTTGAATCGGAAGTTCCCTCACTGTCCAACCGCGGCTCCGAGCCTCCGGCGGCCGGGAGGCTCAGCCTCAGTAGCAGCTACTAGGCTAGGAGCCGGGCTCAGCAGCCTGCAGTCCGCCGGAGAGTCACGGCGGCGCAGCCTCCCGGGACGCCGCCGGTGCCCGGCGGCCGGTCTACGCCGGCATGATACCGTCGCGGGCACCCGTGACCGTCACGCCCGGCGCTGACTGTCGGAGCGGCCGCGCTGCAGCCCGGGCCGCGCCCGGGCCTTCACTGGAAGGCTTACAGTACCGTACCGTCGTCATCGGAGCGTCTCGTGCCGTAGCCTAGTAGTGTGCCCGGCCCCCGGACTCCCGGCGGCGGCCGCGGTCCGATCTTTCTATTACCGTATGATGGCATGATTCCGGCGACTGCCAGTCCCATACTAGTGACCCCGGGGCCTGTCTGTCCCAGTGTAGAGCCTCCGATCTGAAATAAGCTGTCTGGCTCGCTTCAGCAGGGCCCGGGGTACGGTCAGTCCCGGCCCCGCGCGCCGGGCCGCCGGCCCGGCCGCCGGTCGCGGCGCCAGTCACAGTGACTCAGTGAGGCCTGAGTGGACCCGGCCCCCGGCCGGGGCCGCCTAGTACGGTAGCGGAGGCTCCGGCGACGCGGCCGGTAGAAGGTACCAGTTAAGTAAAGCTCATTGCCATACTAGCTCACAGTTAACTTCAGTTGGCAACCACCGGGTCACGGCTCAGTAGTACTTGATACCAACTTGAAGAACAAACTCGGCGACGGGGGGTCCCTATGACTGACATCATGAACCGGGTGGTTTGACTAGGGGCCGTGGCAATTTCGAGGGTAGGTTATTATCGCAAAGGGAGGGTGGGGTAGGGTTGACAGTGGTAGGCCCGATACTACTCGCGATTTGCCTCTGTACTCCGAGCCGGCTGGGTTTCCAGTAGGTAGGGTGGGGTACTTGGAAGGTTATGAGATGGGGTGGTCACGGAGGTTGTCTCATGGGTGGGTGGGTGTGGAACTTCCGAAGGAAGGGGACAACGGGGGTGGTCACAATGGTCCGCCGGTCCCTTTTATAGCGGTAGCGGCTTATTTCGATGAATGCTAGATCCGACGCTGTTGGAGTTGAAGGGAAGGGAAGGGAAGGGAAGGGAAGGGAAGGGAAGCAGCCAAACAACGAGGAAGCAGGGAGAAGGAAGAGGAGCCAGTAGAATGCTGAATGACATGTACGATTCGAATATGATGTCCAAACGGCCCGGGACATGGGGCGGGAGCATGAGAGGATAATAGGAGAGGAATCGCCCAAAATGTGCAGACTAAAGATGGGCTTTATAGTCCAGGAACTTTGTAATGTTTGATAGTCTGAGCAACATCCGTGTGATTGAGAATCGTTGAGATGACACAAGAAGGCAACGGCGAGGATAGGCACAGAGCAAAAGATTGTGAAGGAGGGGTATGGAATATATCCAGGTGACTGAATGTTTCCAGAGGATGGATGAAGACTTTTGGTCGTTCATCGATGGGGTTTTGCCTTCGGACGTATGCGATTGCATGGCAGTATACGGGCATGACCACCACCTTGTCATCTCCCAGGAGGTAGCTGGTGGGGGTGATCGTCTGTGCACTGATGAAACTGATGGCAGGAGATCAAGGAAAAGCTTTCAACAAAGTATCTGACGGAGATTCATGCTAGTCTTTACTCTCTGACGAGAGCTGCTTCCCCTGAGTACTCAGCCATGTATCTTGTAACCAACAGCTTGCTGTGTCCTTATACCCTAACAGGAAAATTCTGCATGGGTTGAGGAAACTCTCAGGGGTAATGAGTGGGCGTGTCGTTGAGCATCTAGGTAGGAGACCAGAGCTCGAGAAAAACTTGATATCCGATGATGCGAGTTCAGATCTCAACCTGTTCAAGAAGCTACTTGAGGTTTACAAATGGATGGAATTCAACTCCCCAAAGGCACGATGCGCATGTGAAGTAGGTTTGAGGACCCTTGGCACTCTGGTTCTGAGATTGTCTGCCGCAGTATCTCGAAGAAGGCTGCATGGTTGCTGCATGGTTGGGTTGTATGTCTCCAGCTGAAGAGTTGCATCAAGCGTCAGTCGCGGTGAGGAAGGATGGTTGAAAGCAGAAACTGATGTCGGCAACGCAGCTGCTGCTTGAAATATGGAAACGATCCGCGCCCAGTCACAAATTTCTAGCTTGCATGCAAGTTGGTAGGCTCATTGTTCGATATCCCAGTGTCGGGAGGCTATTGGTGCGAGAGGAGGATTTCTTTGAAGAGTCTCTGCTGTCTCTTTCCTCCCCATCCTTAGATGAAGTTTACGGTCAGAATGCATAATGCTCTACAAGGTTGGTGTCATACTGTTGCAGGCGCTCTATCTTTACTCCATAAGCTCGTGGAGCTGAGAAGAGAAGATGTATCTTCGAAGCTCAGACCCTTGATCGTGTGACTGAATCTTGAAGGTGTCCGTCGAGATCAGCAAGCGATCCCCAGTCCTGGCCATCCTTACCAACATCTTACGGAACGGTGTGAAATCAGAAAAACTCAACAGTCTCTGATGTAATGCAGGTGTTGAAATGCATAGAATGAAGGCAGCAGCGATATTCATGCATCTCAGTAATTTCACGGTTTCCAGCAGATTGATGAAAGAGAACAACCTGTACTTCTTGCGCGATCTATGAGCAAGGATTCTTATCTCTTGCAATAGGGGGATTCGCTCGAGCTTGCAGCTGTTATACAGAAGCAGAACTGATTGCTCTGTCAAGGGAACCATCGCGGGTTTCTGTCTGCTGGCCTGGATCAGCATCAACGGAGCGCCCTCGAACAAGACCCCATCTGAGTGAGAGATTGTTGCGACCTCACACAGTGTTGCTGATATCAGTGCGCTCCTGTCAGAGTTGTGCCACAGCAAATCTTTGACATGATGGTACGCGGAAGCTTCGCGGCGAGGTCTCGTTGACTTGCATCTGCAGCTCGAGCTTCTATCAGCCTCAGTTCGAGGAGAGGAGTTCTGTGGTGTCACCTGGAACCTCAAGGATATCTTGAGAAGGGTAGAGACGTTGTTCGAGCTAGACGAACACCGCGTGACAATGATCAGGTTCGAGACGAACATCACATGCCATGAGCACTCTTGACCGAGTTGTTCAGCTCAGGGATGATCGACAACCTCGTTCTAGTCCAACAGAAGATATTCGGGCGGATTGATGAAGAAGAAACGGTCTTTCAACAACATCTCACTAGATCTTGTGGGGTTGATTCGCGTTGCCAGGAAACAATACAAGGGATTCTGATCAGAGCGAACAAATTCATGCAAACCAACGCCGCAAGGGGAGATCATGTCGATCCCCTCAAGGCTGCCAGCAACGGTCAGGAAGAGATGAGCTTGCAGCATGTGAGATCGCTGCTGGCACCAACAAGATGCGCTGACCGATGCCTTCAGATGATCAGCTCGTGGGTGAGAACAGGCCATCCTCACCGGGAGCTTGCGACGAGGTACACGGAGGGAGGGAGTGCCCCGAGGAGCTTGCACGAGAACAAGTGTCAAAGCATCGACTTGAACGTTGAGATGGGTAGGACACCCCCGCATGTCCCTTCTTGACCGCCTTGAGGCCTCACTGTTCCTTGCAGAGGATCGGCAGGTAAACCCCCCCGACACGGTGAGACAGTCAGGCAGTCTTCCCCGACCTGGACAAGTTTCTCTGATCGCTTGCTCAACGTGTCAGAGCCCGAACGTGGTCGACGCAGACATCGTGATGAAGTTGAAGTCCCGTGAGGACGAGCGATCCTGCCATTCCTTCGTCGAGCCCGTGGGTAAAGGAGCGAGGGCGAGGATGGGAGGGAGATTGATGTTGGCCCCTCCAGATGATCAGGCTGCCCGATCCTTCCTGAGCACTCTGAGAGAGAACGGGAACAGAAGGCCGGCTGTAGATAAGATGAGGAACAACATCGAAGTAAGAGTCATCCTCCCTGCCCCCTGGGATTATGATTGAACGCTTCTTCAGCACCTCTTGCTCCATGGGGAGTCGCATTCACGATTGCGAGGTGTGTTGCGATATCATCGTATGCTGGTCTTCGTTGACTTGCGCCAATCCAAGACGCTCACGACAGCAGGAAGAGTGAAAGAGAAATCGCCGCGCACAGAGCGAACCAAGCTCTTAGCAAGTCTGTCGCAGAGGTAGTCGATGTACTGCACCGAGACGTGACGAAGAGGAGATATCTATACGAGGCAATCATGAAGGTGACGACAAGCATCTCGCATGCCCTGCTGTCTGATGTTGTAGTTACTCTTGCTTCCCTCTAGACGATTCGAGATGTGATTCACTCTTCTCTCACGGACGACCACCTGGCATCTCCGAGTCCCAAAGCACATGTTGGTGTTGACTACTACGTCGAGAAGTTCAATGCTGCACAGCGAGACACGAGGAAAGTGTTGGTGAGAAAGACAAGATCGGGGTTGACATCAATCCCTGTCATGCTTTAGTTGTATGTGTATAAACGCATGCCGGTTGCTGACTCCAAATGGACTAATCGGATCAAAATGTCTACTTTCACAGCTTGACAGTCAAGTCAAGTCTCAGAGAGATATCTTCCATGGCTGTAGTTTCTTCTTCGAAGAAGATGCTCTTCCCCTCTTTCAATACCTCTGACAAAGTTGCTGGTTTCATTTGTGGCGGAACCCTAGCGAAGCGTTCCACGTACACACCGTGCTCGTCGGAGAAAACCAGGACATTCTTTGTGCTCAGCTTTCTCACCTTCGATCTCATCATTTCTGCTGTCTTCTTCTGCACTCCCCGTGATCTTTGCATCTCGTCGGCTAAGTGTGCTTTGTTGAGTCACGCTCCTTCCCTCTCTCCTTCTTCATCCCCCCTCCCCTGTTGTCGGTCATCATCTATCCCTTCAACCACCCACCCACCCCTTGACCCCTTATGACCCACCCTTTGAAGGATATCCCACCCAAACCCGGTCATCGTCCGACTCTCCGATGATCTGCCGCCACACTGAAATCGCCCGGCGGGCCGCGACCCGGGCCCGGACGGACTCGCCCCCGGCCGGGGGAGGGGCGGCCTGGTGGACCACTGAGGCACTGTCCCGGATCGGATCCGAGTCGGATCCGGGAGTCAGCCCGTCGGATCCTGCAGCCTTGTGCGTCGGATCCGAGGCTCGGAAATTCCGATCAGTGAGGGGATGAGGGCTCGTTGGTCACTTTCAGTTTTCGGCTTTGCCGGTCGTACCCCTACCCCCCTAAGTACCCCTAGATATTTTTGGTACACAACCTACCAGCTCGACTTTACTTATATGATATGATCACTATAGCAATATTACTTAGTGTTACAATCGAGAAATATCATCTCTTTACCCCATAATCCCCTAGTATCTCCACAGCTTTCTGCATACTACCCCCACATAATTGAGTCTACCTCGATGGAGCAAAAATTCTGGCTGCCATGGCACTCGGATAACGCAGCTGCAACCGCTGCATTGACTCGTGCTGCTCCCTCCCGGCTCCCTCCCACCTCCTAGAGTTCCTCCTCGATCCCTTACAGTCTGCAGCAGCTTTCTTCTCCCACTTGCTTCTACTGGATCGAACAAGTAGCTCCTAACAAGATTGAACCAGCGCCACCCTCCTTCTCATCTTCACCCGTGTTCACCAGTCAGCTGACCTTCAGAGCACACCCTTCCGCAGCATCCACGCTCTGTTCAAGTAGAACAAGTCACTGAGACAGCATGGGAAGCTCGGTGTCAAAGGGAAAAAGCACCAACCAGAAGCAAGACTTTGTGCTGCAGGGCCAAGGGGTGAAGAAAGGAAAAGATCAGCCTGCTGCCAATGTTCAGCCTCAGAAGTCTGGAGCGACCCAGCAGAAGGCTACCAAGGCTAGCGCGCCTGTCCGATCAACACCAGCGCCATCAGGTCGTGACAGGGTGAAGGGGACACACCAACAAGCTGCTGCGACGGAGTCGAAAGCTGCCGTGCAGCCGGCGGCCAAGGCGGCCAAGCTCACGCTGGAAGAGCAGGAGCAGATATCCATCGACCAGCAGTTTGCACAGAAGTTTCGAGCATTTCAGCAGAGTGCTGATAGCGCTGGACAACTCAAAGGAACTGAAGCTCAAGCTGAACATCAGGAGGCAGCTGGATCACAACGACTTTCAGATGTGGAGCGAAGGAAGAAGCTGGAGGAACAGGAAGAGCTTTCGTTGGATCAACAAGCGGCTCAACAGTTCAACGCCATGTCAAAGATGATGGCTCAAAACGAAGAGGCTTCAAGAGATAAGGAGGAGCAGCGCAGGAAGCTAGAGGAGCAAGAGCAAATCTCAATAGATCAGCAAATGGCTCAGCAGTTCCGAGAATTCGTCCAAGTCAAAGAACAAGAGAAGAAGAATGGACAAGTGAAGCCTCAGTTGAAAGACACAGAGCTGAAAGCAGGCAAGCAAAGTCAGGAGCAGGCTCTCAAGGAGGCGGATGATCTATTAGACGCGTTTGCACCCCCGAAGAGTAAGAAAGCTGCAGATCCTGACGACAGCCAGGCAGCGCCTGCACAAGATGCAGCGGAGGAGGAAGAGATACCACTTGCGTCTGTGTTCAGTCCTGATGCAGGCACGCAAGAGGACAGGGACTCCGTCTCCTGCATCGTTGCAGGAAAGTTGTACCTGACCAACTTTCGCGGGGTTGAACGGACGGATGAGTTGAAGAAGCTGAATATTAGGCACATAGTGTGTGTGAACGAGCAGAACAACGAGTTCCCTGATCAGTTCAACTACTTCAACATCGACACGCTTGAAGACCAAGAAGACCACGACGCCACCGTTCACTTCTCAGCGGTAGGGTCAGAATGCCAGCTAGTGCTGCGAACTCGAAACTCTTTGGATGTTCTTGATTCGTGCTGTTCCAGGTTAAGAAATTCACCGACGAATCGCTGGCGAAAGGAGGAGCTGTATGCTTTCACTGTGCCGCTGGAATATCTCGAAGTACAACGATGATGATTGCCTACTTGATGGCGAGCAATGGAATGAGCTTATTCGATGCCTTCCGTCTTACCTACTCGAGGCGTCGGGTGGCCTGGCCGAACCGAAGCTTCATGCAGCAGGTGAGGTGATGTCGTTGCAAGCCTGAGGACCTGACGCTTGCGTGCTAGCTGATTCAGTACGAGACTAAGCTGCAGAAGGAGGGAGTCCTTCACGGCAAACATCCTTCCATCGAGCTTGAAGACTGGGACATGTGGACGACTGGAGATATGCAGAGGCTCCGCGAGCAGGTGATGAGAGACTGGTGCTGCTGCCCTTGATTGATCCGTATGACAGCACTTGATCTCACTGGAATCGCGACACGACTCCTTGAAAGGGGCAGACAGCAGAGCCTACCGAGAGTATTCAGAGAAGCTGCAAAAAGCCTTGCAAAGTCAGCTTGCTTGAACCTGGATGATGTCCCGCGATGTTTTATTCAAGTAATCAACATAATGTACATGTTATCTTTAGATGTAGGGTGTTAAAGCTTCGACTATTCGTGCTCCTTGCTTCGCAGCAATGCTGTTCATTTCACTCCTGACGGTGTCTTTGAGCTCGGCAAGGACTTTCTCGTCTTGCTTCAAGATCTCTCGGATGCTTTCGGCCAAGTCTCTGCTGTCCGACACCTGCCTGATGCAGTGCGGTGACGATCCTGCGATGACGTCGATCGCATGCTGACCGTTCTGATTGTGAGGGCCATGGAGCGGGAAGCACCCTAGCAAGGCCGGCTCCATCACGTTGTGACCCCCCACACCATCGACGAGTGAACCTCCCACCAGAGCGACGGGAGCGACTGCGTACCAGACCCTCAAGACTCCCAGCATGTCGACAATGTGAAGATCAGCCTCCAGGAGCATCGACATCCCATCCTTGCTCTGCAAGCTCAACTTCAGCTGGGGAAATCGATTTTGGATCACCGTGAGAATCTGATCGCAGCGCATAGGATGTCGTGGAACCAAGACAAGCAGAGGCTTCAGCTCCTTGCCATGGGCATCAGCTGGGCACTGCAGCTTCGATGCGACATCTAGATGCGCTTCTATGGCAACCTCCTCCTCTCCCTCGTGCGTACTGGCAGCGATCCAAATCTTCCTTGTCCTGCGGGTGTCGCCAATCCGATACGAGAGGCGTTTGTGGATCTCATCGACTTCTGATTGTACGACAGATGAGATGGGCGCGACAAGCTTCAAGCTCCCGAGACACGTCAGCCTCTCTGCTCCGAGAGCTCGCATACGCTCACTGTCCTGCTGGCTCTGACAAAGGATCGTCTCGAACATTCGAAACATGTACGAGATCAGAGGGCGGAAGAGGAAGAAGCTCCATCGAGCAGCTGACATGTGGCTTATCCTCCCATCCACCATGATCAGTCTGATGCCTCTTTGTTTGCATTCATACAACATGTTCGGCCATAAATCAGCTTCCAAGATCACTAACGCGGATGGTTTCCAGTGCCTTAGAAATCGCTTCACTGCATATGGGAGATCGACTGGTGCCTGGACGCATTCAACCTTGGAGAAGAATTCATCTTCAGGATGCTGATGCTTCCTCATGTTCAGAACTCTCAGGCCATCTGAAGAGCCGCTACGAGAATAATTAGCGGGGATGGAAGGAAACACGAGCGAATCCTTTACCTCGATATCAAAAAACGCATGCACGGCCGCACGAGAGAAAGGTAGCTTGCCAGTGTCAGAGCAGAAAGACATTCTCCCACGCTGGCGCCATGCAGGCATGTGACGTCATGGTTTCCTTCCCAAGACTTGGGCCTTGGCTGCCACCGGACTCCTGACCTCTCTTGGTCAGATGGCTCAGATGAGACGAGCCGAGAGGTCTCTACTCACCTAGCCTAGCAAGCAGATCTGTTTCTCTTCCTCTCAGTCTCCTCCTCACCATCATCATCACGATGAGCGGCGCCATCAGTATCCCTCCTCCTCGATACACCGCAAGCTGCCATACCATCCCTCCCACCCCTACCTAGAAAAGCCCCACCCGTCATCAAAGAGAATTCATGACCCCTACCCGCTCTCCAGTGTACCCACCATGGTATCTGTTGAAATGAATTGTAAAGTACCCCAACTTTACCCAATGAACACCCACTTAAATTAGTACATTGAAATCACCTACCCTACCATATGTAGCCCTACCCCTTTGTCTGTATTTACCCCACCCTACATCGAGTATCAAGCATTGCTACCACCCTGCGAAACCTCCTTCATGCACAGTGAGAGAGTCGCTTCTGAGTGCATGACAGCGAACTGAAGGGGACTGAGACCGAGTAAGAGACAGACAGACAGACAGACAGACAGACAGACAGACAGACAGACAGACAGACAGACAGACAGACAGACAGACAGACAGACAGACAGACAGACAGACAGACAGACAGACAGACAGACAGACAGACAGACAAGCAAGGCACGAAGACACCAAGACCGATACCTTGACCGACGTTGACCGATATCCAACATGCTATTTCGTTTGCTCCTGCTGTGTGCTCTCGCTCTTGCGCACGTGAATGGTGGAAAATGTTGGGATTATGGAAATCATAGGTTGTACTGCGCACGTTTGCGCGGTGGCGGTAGATTCGATAGTTCTGGAGTGGGCATCATTCAAGCATCGGAAGCAGAGAAGTAAATCACACATGGCAGAAGAGCGTTTCTTGATGGTTTGACAGGTTGAGGCAGCAAGGCATTCTCAAGGGGAAATGGGCGATTGAGAGCCAAGAAGAGCCCGAAAGCGATATACAAGATGCGTATCCCTCCAAGTACTCGACCTGAATTGTTGTGTTCACAATGCTGATCTCAACTTTCAGCTGGCCAGAAGAATGGGGAGGTCTTGAGGAGACAGATGAAGTGACCAGGATGGGACCAGGTCCCCTCCGCCTGTACCTGGACAACAAGTAAGCCTCAGCCCCCTCACATGCACGTGCTAGGCTCAGGGTTGTGGATGGCCAGGTACAATCGAGACGTGCTTCCAACGGGAGAAGTGTCGCAAGCTACGTGAGTTGTTATGCTCCCAACAACGTGAGAGTGGCTCACGAGTGATGTCAGTCTCGATCGTTTGAAGGACTCTCTGGTGGACGAGAATGGATATACGGAGGTTGGTACGAGGGAGGATAACGCCGCAAGTGATTCGACCCTGCAGGTGGAGATCGAAGAGAACAGCAGCTATGGTACAGCTTACGATCGTGAAGTCAACAAAGCTGCTGCTCACGATGGGCCCAACCTGTCTATGCAGTCTGTTGGCGATGTACGTGGAGTTGATGCATTGTTGTGCACTGTCCGATGATTCTCCAATAGCAGGACCAAGTTGTGGCGGAACGGTTGATGACGAGTAAAACAAGTCCTCAAGAACTCAATGGATTTGAACTTCCGTCCGGGGTCACTCCGGGTCTTGCAAAGAAGTGGCTGAGTGAAGCAATCGTATGTTTCAAGTCATCCTTCTCTTTCATTCTGACAGTACCTGGTGTTTTCATAGATGAATCCATTTCACCGAGAAAAAGACTCGGCAGCATCCTCTGCCATTCCAGACTTTGATGGAGACGGCGAACAGTCTCCAGAGATAACAGCAGCAGAGAGAGCCATCGATGACGCTATCGGTGAGAACTGTTCGAACGAGTTGCTCTGCACAGCCTCACTTGCATCAACCGCAGCCAACAACGATACCGAAGCTCTTGAGGCAGCGATAGGTGAGTGTTACATGTGTTACCAGACGGAATTGACGGCACAGCCAGAGCATCTCAAAAAGCTCAAGGACAAGTGAAGCAATTCATCTGTGGACAAGTGAAGCAATTCGTCTGTGGATGGCTCGTTGTTAAATGATTAAACAGCCTTTTTCGAAACCATTGTGATTTATTCTTATCCGCAAAACCATACGCTAACTTATGGTATACTCATCGATAGACCTAAATATTTACCTGTAGAGGCCGTTGTTGAAGATGTCCTCCTGGTACTGTACACAACAGTCAACATCATACAGCATATCATTCTACATGAAGCAGGCAAGGAGGGGACAGGTAGCTCTTTCGAGTTGGAAAAGAAATCTTACCTCGGGGGCCGGCTCGAGCGCAACAAGGTTCTTCTCATACTTCTTGACGATCTCCTTCTGCTCAGCAGAGAGCTTGGGGAGCTTGTAGATGTCTTCAACGGTTTGGTATGGGCCATTCTGCTCAAGCGTTAGATGGTTCCACACATCGCAGCCATCGCGAACTGACCTTGGCGATAATTCCTGCAATGCTGGGGTACATTCCAGGGAGCTTAGTGTATACGCGGATATTAGCATTGTTCACATCAATCTTGTCAGAGCCGCCGAGGTATGGAAGGTTGGCGTAATCGATTTCGGCGTTGGCGAGAGCAGGGGCAGCGATGGCAGCTCCAGCAACGAAAGTCTTCAGCATGTCTCTGCGGGAAACAGAGCCCTCAGCCTGCATGGTGACTCCGCAAGCCTGCGTACACAGCGTAAGCAAACCACCTTGCGAAATATGACGTCTCTACAAGAAACATGCAATAATTCATCCCTGCTTATTGTGTAGAAAAGGCATTCATGCACTATGAATACGTTTCTATAGCAAACAATCCTCTAAGAAGACCGGAACCGAGAATGACATGACAATTCGCGTACAAGGAGGACGATAGACGAATAAGTACGGCATTTTAGATTCGGATGAAAGAACGCACAGTTTACAACAACTGGACGGTGCGGCAAGTGCAAAACTTCAAATTGCTTCACCTTGGTGGGCTTAGCATGAAGGCCAGCGAGGGAAGGAGTGGAGGAGAAGGCGGAAGCGCCGGCGACGACGGCGAGGAGCGCGGCTTTGCGGAGCATGACGAGGCTGACGGTGGTGGCTGGGGAGGGGGGAGACTAAGAGGAGGGGAAACCCGTCACCTTTCCCACCCGCCGCCCACCCTGAGAAAAAAAAATTAGAAGAAGGAAGGAACGATAATGTAACAGTTATTAGTCTTTCTTTTCTTCTTTACGAAGAGTCTTTCAAAGAAGGGGTACTGTCGTTTTATCGGACTCAAAAGTACCGGTATCTTGTTGTGATATTCGTTCTTAAAAGTACCGGTACTTCTGAAGCTTCTAGTTCTTCCCTACTCTTTTCTTTTCTCGTTCCGAGCGATCATCCTTTGTCCCTCATCTCGGTTCATCCTGTTCTCTATTCTTTTTTTCTCTCTCAATGACGGGTCACCCTGCCTTCAATCCCTACCCCCTCTTTTCATATCGCTCACTGCACCACCCGTGGGACCCACCCCCTCCATTTAATCATCACAAACCCCACCCCTGACAAGTACCCCCCACTTCCCCATGTAACTAAGAGTCACCCTACCTTCTCGGGCCCGGCCCTCCTCGCTGAGGCGGGCTGACTTTTGTTTATGACTTCAGTGATTATGTGTGTCACGTGACTCTGACTTGAACCGGTACGGTAGTAGTTTTACTCATCCTTCAACCGCTCAACGTCTCCTGAGGTTCTCGCAACCGTCACGAGTCGACTCGGCTGGATGGGAGCGGCCGGCCGGGCCGGCCGACAGTCTACCGTGAGATGCCCGGCCCGGGCCCGGCAGCTCCCGAGTCCCGGCCCGGCGTTCAACGGAAATCGGACTCCGAGGGGCGTTCAATGAGAGAGCAGGCTGGGTAGGACAGCAGTGTTGGGTTACCTCAAGAAATAGGTGAAGGGAAACACTGCCTCCATGCGCAAGAGGCGGATCATGCCGCACGTTCTGTGAAAGGCGATGGCAGGAAGGGGAAAAGAAGGCGGGCAGGGAGGACGTGAAGGAGGTCAAGGGAAGAGAGGAGAAAGCTGGGGAGGGAGGGGAGGGCGAGGGGGCGGTGGGAGAGCAGGGGAGGTCATGGGGGAGGTCACGATGGCATCACGCTCGCCTGCAGCAGATCGAGGAGTTCGAAGAAATGGGGAGGGGAAAGTAGAGGCGGCTTCTCCTGTTGGCGATATGAACAAGAGAGGATCGAGAGAGTTTACTCCCAGTGATAGAGAGCAAGGAGCGAAGAGGAAGAGGAGGTCTCATACCCCCAAGGAAGACACATCCTTCCAGGGTTCCACCTTCCTTCGGGTGGAGATGTTCGCTGAGGCAAGAGAGTGCGAGATAAGGGACGCGATGGCTGCTCTGCCCGCCTGCTCGGACAGACATGCGCGCCATGGAAAGAAGGCGCCGATCGGTGGGTCAGAGGTTAGGATGATGCTGAGGCGACGAGCTACCAGCCACCGGCGGTACAAGTTTCCCCTGCAAGTCAGGTTGAGGCCAAAGAAGAAAGTCAAGCTGGCAGACGCCTCCAGGGGCAAGGCGCCGCAACTCTACAGAGCACAGAGGAGATACGTGCGGAACATGCATGCTTCCTTCGAGGGCAGGGAAGGCTGTGCAAAGGTAGGCAGTGGGTTGGCGTTGCTAGCTAAGCTGAGCGACTGGGCGGTTAGGATGGTGGCGATGCTCAAAGATTTCTGTCTACACACCTCTGGCACGTCAAGAGGATGAAGATGGGGAGTATGTGGGGATACCGGCTTCCTCTGCATGTGAGCTTTCGCGGCTCAAAGCTGGCAATCCTGACGCGTACGGCAGCGGAGAGACGTATCTTCTCGAGCAGCAGTGAGGTGGTCAAAGACCCGAACGGTCCTGCAGGATGCGTCATACCTCGCATGCTGGAGGCTGGAGGGCCCTGAAGCTGATTTGTTCTCCTTCCTCCGTATGAATCTGCACCTTTGCACCTTGCTCCGCAGTTCGTTCCCTTCCATGAACCTTCTGTTGACATCTGTTTCACAGGAAAGTTGTTCAACGATTGCTCGAAGATCGACAAAAGATTCATGAGTGGAGGGTTTGAAGTCACTTGTCTCGCCTGCTCGTCAACCTCAGTCCATCATCGAGTCATCGGGCCAGCACAGGCGATGTGCAGGCCATCTACGGTAAACATACATCTTGCAAGTACAAGATCTGAGATGCTTGAAGGGTGATGGCAACATGCGGGAAGCTCTCCTTTGGATAAATCCTCAGGCCTCTGCGATGTTGCAAGCTGAGTTCGAATGGTGCAACAAGACGGTCCATGGCAGAGTGCGCTGGGCTCAAACAAGGTGCCTCACCTCATCGACTTTGGTCCGTTCACTTCATCCTGGCAGGGCGTTAGCGCGCTTCGAGCTACAGGGTCCAACCAGCGATCAGCTCTTGGAGAAGATTATCTGTCCGAGCTCGGAGGCGTACAAGTCCCTTCAGATCAGAACCCTTGCAAGATGCCTGAGTTCCACCAACATGACAGAGGCCAGCGGCTCCTACCCAGATGGGGAGTTGCAGTTAGAGGTGAGAAGAATGGAGACTTGATTGCTCCTGACGCATGGAAGGCTTGGAACAGCGTCAAGGGCTCGAGCTCCTATCAAGTTCTTCCGCCGGGAAGTGCGCTTGCTCTGACATGCATCGACCCCCGGCTGGTGAAGGCACTCAGGTACGGGGTCAGTCGGAAAGCAGCGACGTTTTTAGAAGGAGAGCAGGTCCGCCAAGGGCGACGAGGGCGATGAAAGGGAAGGAGTCTTCTCAAGGAAACCCTGGCTTTCAAGTACGAGGAGCGTCGGAAACGCGGCAGGGAAGGGGAGCGCTGGGGGAGCTCGACTATGCCGAGGAGCCTTCTGGGACTTGCCGAGGTCAATTTGACTGTTGTCAGTGTGCGAATGCTCATTCTCCAGTGCAGCCAACTCCGATCTCGTCCTCTCTCCGACTCTTCCTTGCATGCTTATCGTCAAGAGGGTTTGTTAACGTTCAGACCCGCAACCGGAGACAAACAGGCCAGGGAGGGCGTCGCCCTGGATACCAGCGTCCTCCTCATCAGAGCCGACGGGAGGTCGAAACTTCCTCGCATGCCGAGCACGAAGAAGTGGGTCCTCCTCCTCCCTGGGGGCTGGTCGAGAGTCTTCTGGAACGCTCTGATCCTCAACGGCGGGAGGGCGATTGGAGTGATGGAGCACAAGGTGAGAGGAGGGAAGTTCCCTGCGTAGAGGAGCTGAAGAAGATGCGAATCAGGAGATCAATCTTCATCACTGCTCAGCGACGTTCCCTTTCGACTATCCCGATTCCCTCATGTACAAGGAGTGGTCGGAGCTGGAAGCCCGGAAGAGCGAAGAAAGGTCCTTCTCCCTCCCAGCTGTCAGTCACCCGACTGATCGGACGAGCAGGTCCGAGGTTCTTCCTCCGTCTGTCCGGGTCAACTACAGGAAGCTCGGGACCCGACACGCTGTCGTGACGCCTGAGAGCTGGACAGCATTGTTCGGAGGGGGAGGAGGAGACGCTGGCGGGGTGGTGGAGGTGATTCGAGAGAGGGTGCGGTGGTTGTCGTTGTGTGGGCCAGCAGCACGAGATAGTGAGGGGAGAGGAGGGAGGCAGTTGGTGCCTGTGGTGCTCCAATCGGAGAAGCGCGGCGTCCCCTGTCAGAACGCCATCCTGACGGTGTTGGGCGGCGACTTGCAACGGAGGCTGCGCAAGGTGCTGAAGGAGGGAAGGGGAGAGCAACTCAGCATTAGCAAGACCACCAGCTCCGAGCTGAGACTTGAACTACCGCGAGAGCAGGAGGAGGAGGAGACAGAGTCCATCACCGTCCTTGAGGACGTCGGGGGCTACGTGACCTCGGGCTGTCACAACTTCCTCACAGGGTACGGGAGGTCACGGGGAGGCAACGGCCTGACAGCTGAGCGTCGCAGGCGCGGGTTCGCCATGGCCCTGCTGAAGGCGGAGGATGCGAGGAGGGTGATGGGAGGAGTGCCGGAAGGAGCAGGGGAGAGCGTAAGGCAGAGGAGCTGGTTCTTCCCTACCTGACAGCCCTGCAGGATTTTCTCGTGGTGGTGAGGAACAACCATGCGAGAAGCGCGTTCCTGTGCTCAGCAACGTTGTTGTTCGAGAGCTGAGAGAAACATGATTGTATAGAAGCCTTGCTCTTCCCCCCCTCTCCTCTCCCCCCCCCTGCTCTCCTCTTCCCTCCGGTCTCCAATTATCAACGCTTTTAAGAAATTAGCATTAACACACAATCTGCTCCCATTTGCGCAGTGAGGAGGGAGGAGGGAGGAGGGAGAGAGTGTCTGGTTTCTCTAGAGCGACCTCATCGCAGCTCCCCTTCCCTTCCTCCATCTTCTGCTCTGCCATTGCCAGTAACCGACGCCGAAACCGAGCAGGCAGACGAGGAGGAGGCCTCCGTACCAGGTCCAGGAGAAAGAGCCCTTCTTGGCTGCCATTCCCTCTCCTCCTCCTCCTCCTCCTCCTCCTCGTCCCTCTCCCCAGCTCTCTCTCGCGCGCCTGCGACCTTCTCCTCCATGCCTGGGGCGGCCGAAGCCGAAGCTCTGATCCTTCGAGCCAAGGAAGGTGTTTCTCCTCCAGTCTCCGGGCGGATACTGTCCGTCAACGCCCGTGCCGTTCCTCTCCTTCTTATAGAAGGGATGCAGTTTGTTGGCGTAGTCCTGCCGCAGCACAGCAACTCTCTCCTGCACCTTGGGCTTGCATGACCCCAGGCACGTTCGCCGGCACGCGCGGGTGCAGTTGACGGACATCATCTGGAGATTGGCGCTGGTGGACTGAGCCTGCTGCGCCTTGAGCCTTTCCTTGCGCCCCTCGCACTTGGGCAGGCAGAAGTTGTTGCACTCCCCCATGCACTGCCGCATCATCTGGGTAGGCTTGTGTCCCAGCCCCTCCTCTCCGTCCCCGTCCATGAGCACGTCAGGGTCG